AAAAAGATTAATTTAATATTGATATCAATATTTTTTTTCAAATTTTTTTGATATATTTATATTTATATTTTATTCTAAAATAAAAACATTATCATTTTATCAAAACCACATAAAACCAATATTTACTTAAAATTCAATATTATAAAAAGTATAATTTATTAAAATTCGATGTTTGAATTCGTATAACTGATTGCGGATAAACATAATCAAATAGAGGATAAAAATCTTATTTTAAAATATAAAAAATCTAAAATATAATTAGAATAATTATCGAATTCCAACAAAATAATAAATTATTATTTTTATAAGAAAATTATATTATTAAACCAAATATAAATTAATTAATTATTGTACCTAAATTAAATTATAATAAAAAAACCGAATTAAATATTACATAAAAAATGAGGATTTTAAATAGTTAATTTGATCTGAATATCGATATATTTTTGTCAAATTTTTATGATATCTTCAAACTTATATTTTATTCAAAAATAAAAACATAATCGTTTTCTCAAAATCACATAAGATCATATTATAACATTGACTGAGGTAAAAAATAAAATGAAATATTAAAATCAAGATGTATCTTGTTGCATTGTGCGAGTACCTTTCTAGTTATATTATAAAACATTTGACAAAAACTCTTAAAAACCATTTTTTATGCATGAAGTACTGTTTATTGATGCATATTATTTAAAATTCATTATCACAAGTAAATTGTGTATAAGTACAACTTATTAAAGTTCTATGTTTGAAATAGTGTAACTAATTACGGATAAACATAATCAAATAGAAAATAAACATCTCATTTTAAAATATAAAAGATCTAAAATATAATTTAGATAATTAAACCTAAATTAAGTTACTTCGTTACGTTAAATTAAATAGTTAATTTGTATTAATATTGATATACTTTTTGCAAATTTTATATGATATTTTCAAATTTATATTTTATCAAAAATAAGAACATTATCGTTTTCTCAAAATCATATAAAATCGTATTATATCGACATAGATAAAAAATAAAACGAAACATTGAAATGGAAATATATCTCGATTTATTGCACGAGTACCCTTCTAGTATTTTGTAATATTTAGGTCCACAATATTACAGATCTAGTTAAAAGACAAAAAGAAAAATTCAAATTCAATACAAATCTGCAATTGCGACGGTAAAGTCCGCAATTGTGACGGTAAATCGGTTGATATTACCAAAAGGCCGTCGGCATAGCGGTATCGTAGTTCTTGGCCTCCTAGGAGGTCAAGGGTTCAAACCTCACAAACGGTGAGGAGAGTGTGTGAGTTTATTTATTGCATTTGCCGTATATAAATATTATATATTTCCAAAAAAAATCGGTTGAAATTGATTTTATTCTTGTTTTTTTGCTAATATTGCAGATCTGAATATCATAGAAGTAGTGACATTTAGGTAAACCCGGAAGAGAAATTGGTAGGAGACTAATTAGGGTGTTGGAAATGCTTATTTGAGTCAATTTCCCAAAATCTTTCTTATTAAAACAAAAATGAAGTAGAAATAATAAGTAAATTTTCTTTATCAGTAGAATTTTGGACAAGCTTATATGTACCTCGACTATTTCTAAAATCCTATAGATCAGTTATAAATTTTCACTGACTTTCGAAAAAAATTCTCAAAAACCCAAATTTTACTGTCAGTAAAATTAATTTCACAAAGTTGTAAGTAAATTACAATTTACCACTTGTTAAAAATATATTTTGTTATTTAACTATTAAAAAAACATGTTCAATTTCTTTCCAAAATACATTTGTGATTCCTTATATTTTCATCCAACAGTTTATTGAACTTTTACTCAGTAACATTGAGATGATAGTTGAATTAAGGGGTCGTTTACCAAACACTTACTCGAGTAAGCGCTTACCAAGTCACATTACCTTACCGGATGAATATGATAAAGTCCAAACATCTTACCCAGTAAGAGTGAGACAAGGACCAAGAGTCTTACCCGGTAAGTGAAGGCGACGACTCTTACCATGGTAAGTGCTTACCAGTTAAAATGTTGCATACGATGTCATTTTGGTGGACTAAAATCTTATTCGGTAAGTAAATGATAGTGTTAAATTTTACCGATAAACGCTTACCGGGTAAGTGTTTGGTAAACGGCGCCTAAGATTTAAGCTAATCAAGCCCTTATCAAGCACCATTAAACTCCATTACTGTTGAGTAGGGATGTTCATTGATTTGGTTGATCGGGTTAAAGACACTTGAACAACTCAATCTAATGTTTGCGGTTTAAAAAATCTCAACGCAAATCATATGAGCTGATCAGATTGATACTTTGGTACATAAAATATTTTCCTAACCTTAAATATTGTTTTCTTTACTCATAATCATTTTTTATCATCAATCATTTGGTACAACTTTTCCATATTTCTTAAATATTAAGTGTATTACA